GATTAAGACTATTACAAGAAAATATCAAACTAAGAAGAAAAAATGATTACATGGTATATGACATGTCACACTTTCTCAAAAATAAAAATATTAAATACATTCATTCATTTACCAACTACTTATTGAATACCTACTAGTGTCAGATATTGTGCTATGTGACAAGATAATGACAAACAAATTAGACTCTGCCGTCAAAGGAGCCCACCATATAGTGGGAATGACCAAGGGCTATTTTCAACACTATGGTTCTAAGAATATTAAATTCTTCCTAGATTAGGACTTTTCTTGGATCAGAAAAACTTCTAGGTTTAAATTTTATTAACAGAGAATAAAACTCTCCAATTTTCAAAATTTAAGACTTCATAAAGAATTTTAGAAGTCGCATATTAAAATTTACATTCTTGATTACACCTTAATTTAGTTCAATTTATTAGCTAACACAATCCCTCAACAAACACTTATTAAATGCCTTTAATGGATAAAACACTGCAAGCCACATATTAAGTTCAACTCCTGTGCATTTTTGAAAACAACTATAGGGAACTGGAACTAGGTCCCTAGAAGGATATAAAATGGGTAAGAAGGACCCTGGTTTAATGGCAGGCATTGGGGGTAAAACTCCCCTGTAACTGTGAAAATAGACCTCTGACTACATCAGAATAATGTTGTTATATACAAAATACAACCTTTAAAAAGTAAATTAAATAATTAAGGGAAGATGGGTTTATAATGGATCAGAAAGTCAACACCTTTCTAAACACACTTTTAACTTACTTAACACACTTTTCTGTTTCACATTTTTTGCTTGGAAATATCCCATAAAAATGTTTCCTACAATGAATCTTGTTCCAATTTTAAACTGTCACAACATCGTGGTATGGGGTTATATAAATATGAAACGATATAATACGGTGGTGAAAGGTAAAGGCTTTGCAGCCAGATTGTTCAGTTCTAGGCTCCATCACTTACCAGCTATGTGACCTTCAGCAAGTTACTTAACTTCATTGTGCCTTAAGGTCCTCATGTGTAAAGTGATGATAATGATGAAATAATCTCATATATGTACAAAGGGTTAGAACAGTGCCGTGGCACATAGAAAGTACTATGTAAGTGTTCTGCTATTATTATAATTATTTACCTATAAGGATCTCAATGTTTAGGTTAAAGTGGTCATTTGGAAGAAGAAATGGTCATGAAAATGTATGCGGAGTCAGAAGTTGTTCCAGTCTCTCTAGATATTAACTAAA